ACATATATAGATGTAATTTCGCCTCCCTTCCACAAACTTTCTCCCTGAAATCCAAGTTCAACAACTTGCAAAACCCCATATCCATTCAATCACCAGGCTAACAATGGCGAAGTCAAGAAAGAACAAATGAAAAAAAGAGAGAAACCCAAATCAAAGTAACAGATCAAATGAAAGTTGCAAAAAGGGAAACATGCAAAACAACAAAAAGTAAATGCAGAATCTTAGCCTTCAAGAAATTGAAAAAAATTTGATCTTCTAAGGAACCCATTGCTCACTCAATCATCGTGAGAAAGAAGATCTGATGAGGAACAAAGTGGAAGGGACAAAAGTCATTCCTTGCTCAATCATCATGCGACAGTGAGGAACCCAGATCTAGTTCAGGCAAAGAAGAGAAAAAACTAAGATCTAGTTTTGGCAGAGGAGACTAGAAGGAGAAAGATTTTCAGGTCGACGGAGAAAAGGTGGAGAGATTTTGTTTAGGCGAAGGAGAAAAGAGATGAAAAGGGGGAGAGGAGAGGAGAGGGGAGTAGAGAAAAAGGTTGAAGGTGAAGTTTTAAGGGTAAATGTGTAATTTCAACTTTTATAATTAATTTTTTTTTACACTTTCTCCTGTTGTTTGTTAGACACAACCTGTAAATTGAATGCCACGCAAGCCATTAAACAAATGGCATTAGGGGTTCAATCAACGAAGGGGCTTATTTGCTTTAGATGGGGCTTAGAAGGCTTATTTGTTTTATTTTTAGTTCAGGAGTTGGTAACTAACTGTTGGAAAAGTTGAGGGGCTTAAAGAAGGGTTTTTGGCCCTTTTCTTCTCCTGGTAGGGTTTTTTTTTTTTCTTTTAGTATATTTAATTGTGGACTATACAATCTCCCCTGATCCCAAATTTTTTTTTACCCAACTTAAGACTCGAATTTAAGATTTTTAATTTAAAATCTCAAATTTTACCATTAATCCAACCTATTTGGGTTTGATAAAGTTCTTAAAGTGCAGTACAAACAGGGAAGTGGACAAAAAATAGAAAACAAAAAGTTCCATTTTAAGTAAATTTGTGATTTTTTTTTCTCTATGTAGAGTATTTATTATGAACCTCACTTTATGCCATATTATCACGGATCAAAAAATAATAATATTTAAATTTTTTATAAAATTATTTAAAATTTTTAAATATTAATTTATTAAAAATATTTTAATTATTTTGTTATTATTTTTATTATTTTAATTATTAAAATATCTTAAAATTTTTTGTTTTTATCATAATTTTTATTATTTTATTTAATTTAACATTTAAGTTTTTAAGAGATTATTCTCCCCCATGCATTGAATTTAGAGAGATTCCTCAAAAGTTATACAAATGAAAAAAATATTAATCCTGTTATCCCTACCACGTGATTTTTGATTGATGGAGATCAATACAAAAGAGTTGTTTTTTATTGATTGGACTTTTTTTTTTTTTTTAATACCAAAAATTATCTTGATTTTTTATATATCTTTTTATATTTTATTTGTTTTTTGTTTAAGTGTATGCTGTTAATTTGTAGGTTTTTTATATTTTAA